TGATCATAAGTGTGGTACACAAGAAGTGTTACTCTTTCTTGCACTTTTCCACTTATTTTAATTATCTAAGAAATCTAAAAGTTTTTTTTTCTCTGTAATCATACATTTGGTAATCATATTACCTATCTTTTTACATTAATTGACTTTTTTTTTTCGTACTAATTGAGCTTTTTTTATTCATCCAAGTAATATCCATGCCTTAACATTTGGATATATTTCGATGAGTTATTCTAAAATATTCTCAAAAACTAAAAGAAACAATTTTCTAGTAATTAACTAGAAAATGTAGGGGAAGTGGTGGGATTTTCGTTGTATTTAATGGTTGAGTGATGAATAAATTTCCATTCCCTTCAGAATATTATTCTTTTCCTCCCATAAACAACCTTTAGAAGTGTAAAAGTGATGAAGATCATCTGACCGATAAGGATCTTCTGATACCATTGATATGCTATACGTCGCCAAAGACAGTTATGCCTGAGTATCAATGAGGTATCTTTACTGTAATTGTCTTATTACTAGGACAGTGTGTCCTTTATGTGAAACTATTTTATGATTACAGTTTGAATTTGTCACCTTTTTTTTGAATTAACTAAGACTAACCATTCGATACGACATAATACGAACAGTTAATACCACGCAAAACAACTTTTTTATTTCCATAAAGAAATATTTTAATATCTAAACAATACGAAGTACTTGCTGAATTAAAAGTTATTCGATAACCAAACGATGGATCTCGCTACAATTTTGCTATGTTTAAAAACTTTTTAAATCTTAAAATTCACGTCTAACACATCTGAGCAATTGAAAAGGTAATCCGCGTTATGTTTCAATGGTTTATTTCACACTTTCTAAGTTCTTATTTTTTATTTCATTTTCCTTGTTATAAAAGTAATTTTGATTCGTTTCATTCTCTTGGGGACATTCTTGTAATCGATTGCAAATTACATCTAATTGTTAGCTGCAAATATCGAAATGTCTTTATTTACATGTTTCTTGAACATTCTATAAAAATAAATTGTTTTCGTAACTTTTTCGAAGAAGTTTCTCACTTTTTAATTTATATTTTATCAATTTTTTTCATTCAACCATTTCTGGAGATATTTGGTTGGTTTTTGAAAAAAATTGAAGTCAAAAATTATCAATAATTGCCAATGAGTACATTATAAGGGCCTAAAAATCATGATTATATCAAATATTTCAAGAGAAAAGAAATTTAGCAAGATAAGATGGAAATTCCATTGCTGCTTGAATTCACAAAAGGGTGCGATCGGGATGAGATTCGAACTCACGCGGGGAAACCCCAATGGATTAGCAGTCCATCGCCTTAACCACTCGGCCACCCGATCGTGCGAACATGTGAAGGTAAACTCTCAATGGATACTTTTCATGTAATTTTTCGATATTTCTGTAATTTAAGCCAGAAATTTGTGAGATTTTTTCTCAGAATCCTTTCCAAATTCAAAATTTTGTCAACCCTAAAGAGGAATGTCATTGTGAATGGGTCACGTTTATGTTTGTCCTGAACTGTGATAGCTCATTGAGTGTTGTTGACATAAGAGTTCACACAAATCACTCATTTCTCTTTTTCCCGATAGCTGTGAGCGATCCCAACAATACTTAGGCCAGAAGAAAATTAATATATTTCGGACTTTTCGGTTTAGATCCGAATGAAGCTCTAGGAATTTCTGACTTATCGGATGACGAGTATCAATACTCCCTCTTTGTCTTCAGAGATTCAGAAAGCCTTAATGATAAAAAAAAAAAATCTAGCCCTATACGAAAATATTTGGTGGATGTATGACAAACATATATTTGGCGAATATTTGTTCCGTATCGATATTTTCGGTCTTCTTAAGTAAACATCCAATTCCATGGGTATATGTTAGTCTTCCAGTATTGGTTCAGAGCTATTTAAATCGAAACTTTCAGATAGTCATATATAAATTTCACTTTCTTACTTCTTACTTAGTATTAATCATTTCCCAAAATCAACAAGAGCTCAATCATCCTGGGACTTAATAATGAATTAAGCTTTTTTAGGTCTTGAAAAGATTGAGCTATAGTGAAACGATCTTCCTGTTGTTGGTTGTTACCGCATTAAATTAATTAATAATTAATTAGCAAGGGTAACTTTTACACACGACAATTAGTTATGCATATAAGTAATGTTCCATTTTTCCTGATTCAAAGTTTCCAAATATCCAAAAAATGTGATAAGATGAACAAACAAGAATGATAGCTGCAAATTGAACTTTTCGAGCGATAATTTTTCCATTTTGAAGTGGTAATTTGAAAGGAAATATCATCAGCTAAATAATAAAATAATGGTAATTTTCAATAAATTTATCTTAGTCATTTTTTTTTTCTCTTGAGAGAAATAGATAAGGGTAAGATGAGGAAAGAGATTGACCCGAAGTTTTAATTCATCTTTTACGCGTCAAAAAAAAAAAACAATAATTTCATTCAATAATATCATTGCACTGATTGCAATCTACAGTCACCTTTGGCTTCATTGTTTTCTTCCAGGAATCTGCAAATTTAACGGACTAAAATTTTAAATTGGAGAAATTTTAGCTTAAAAATAATTCAAATAACAATTTTTCTTTTTAGCAGTAAATAACACATTCATATGATTGGAAAGTGGATTTCATACTTTTACTTAACAAATTTGAACCACTAACAATGACTGAACTTTCATTATCATATTAGTACAGATCAGTCTTTCCTTGGGATGAAAAATTTCAAGTTAAAATAAAGATTAAAGACTCACATATAGATAAGACAGTTGCATCCATAAGGTATTACATAACTAAATATTTTAATTGTCTTCAAAACGGAGTGTTTCGGCATCTAGTCTAGAATACAATATCATCTCGAGTTGAAACTTTATCAGATAAGTTTGAGCTATGGATAATTACATATATTATCAGTTACCTTCGAAAAGATTTGAATTCCGTTTTGAAATATTCAAAAAAATTTTTTAATTTTGTCTAAAATTTGGCAAAAAAATGGTCAATTTGTCCAACTTACAATTGAAATCATTTTCTGTCATATAGAAGATAACAATTTTGTTCTATCATTGTATGTTTGATGAAACAGATTCATTAGCTTATAGTGATAATAATTATCGATGAAATTATTAAACGTTAGCAAGTTTTTTTATACTTAACAAAATGCATGGAATACCATAGCTAGCCAATAATTAATTAGAAGAACTGATAAACGCATTCCATTGTTAAATGGATTAATCATTAATTTCAATTTAACTATTTCTCAATATGCATTCAATCATTAATTATGCAAATTATGATTGTTTTGGCTCGAACCTAATTAATTAACTTTTGATTTTTGAGTGAAAATGCAAAATTATAACCACTAACTGATAAAAATGATTTTTTCTACTAGTTTGAAAAAATTTCATTTGATGTCAAAAATGGTTAAAACTACCATTACTGATTGATTGATTTTGTTGATTTATTTATTTTTAGGTTTGTTAATATATTTTCACTTTTCCATGAAAGTAATTAATGGCTGTAATCGTTTTGGTAAATTACATATTTTGAAAATTAATACATCTGCCATTGTAATGTTGGTATCAATACTTTGTGAACCTTTCCAAAATGTCATCATTAAGTTCTGTTATCTTATGATTAAAGAAGTAATCCATAAATATCTACAAAATGACAAATGACATTTTCAAAGCCTAATGAATTTTTTGATAAATGTTATTTGTATTTATCAAAAAATTTCTTTTAAAAGAAAAGAAAAATTAGCGTTTCTTTCAATGCGAAAGAAATTTCAAGCTATTAAATTAATGGATTTTGTCTTTATTTCTTATTTTTTTCAATGACGAGGAATGTAAAAATTAAAAAGTGGAAATTGATTGCCACATTTTTTTCCCGAGAAATACAAGCAGAAATCTCTCGAATAATGCATCAATTTTAACTCTAATTCATCACAATTATAATGGGTGGTGATAAAAATTAAAGCATATATGCTACCAATTAACTGGTAAATTTCTTTGACATATTGGACCAATAAATGGTTGAAACTTACCACTGCTTAATTAAGTTCAGTTCAAATTCTAACTGAAGCAAAATTAATTAATATACTGTAAAATAAAAAAACGAAATAACCAGGGATTCAAGAAGTGATATATCGGTTTGCGTTGATTTCACTCGTTGTTGTCCTCGTGATTCAACTTTTTTGATAATTTGTTTTTTACTTAATTCTGGCATAATCTTATACAAAATATGATTCCTTAGTGGCATTTTTGATAAGATTTTGTCGAAACTTATCAACGGCTCTTCCTCTGCAATGTGAATTTAATGAAATTACATTGAAATAAATAAAGTATAAAATTTCTCGAAACAAAAATTTTAGTCGGAGATTCGAAACTATTAATTATGAAAAAAAGTTCTGAATAAATTGCATACACTCCTTTCTGCAGTCTTTAATATCATATTTCTTCTTAAAAATTCCAAAAAAGTAAACTATTTTAGTATAATCTAATCATTTCTATGGGATAGCAACTATAATTCGATTGTAAATTTATTTTCAACTCATTGATTTCATCGAATTTTATTAAATATAATTATTCCAGATTGAAATTTTGCTCGAAATTTCCAATAAAGTCAAATATTTCAATGACATGCTATTATGGCCATATAAAATTAGATCATTTATTATATTCCGGAAAATATTTCGAAACTCCGATCATTTGTAGTACGCCATACATTTGAAAAGGATTGTTTTTTGTATCACTATTTTCCGGTTCAATGATTAATTAATTAATTAACCTTTTGATAGTTCCTGGTTAGCGATATTATCGCCATCATTATCATCATTATCATCACTGCTATCAGCATGGTATTCGAATTGATCATCCTTGCATTCTAGCTTTTCCAATGCATTTTTATATTCTTTGTCGATATTTTTATCCATTCCCTTGCAAATTAGAAAACGAAAAAGCAAATTTTTTTAATTTTTCAGATTTTTTTCCTAAAAATTCGAAATTTCAATTTTTTAAACATACAGAAGATTTTAACTCCTTATTAATTATAAAATGAACAGAAATAATACAAATGAATGGATGATAACAATGAATTTCTTGAGATTATTTGGCTATTGACCTTTCTTCCACTAAATAACTGTTGCGAATTAATATCAAAATTTTCTTACAGAGAAAATTTGAAAAAAGAGAAATTAAGCCATGAATTCGAATAATCAATGGTTTTGACGGACAACATAAAATGAAAATAAGAAATAATCCGTGAAAAATAATTTATTAAATCAAATTTTAAATTAATTAAGTCATAATTTTGGAAGAGAAGAAAATGAAAAATATAGAATTTCGAAGGTTTTGGCCTCGATTAATTAATTACCATAGCTAATGCTTCAATTTGTTGTTGTATAACATTAATGACAGTTGAGACTAATGCAAGGCCAATTAAGAGACATATGGCAATGTGCGCAATATAGTCCGGTTGACTGGGCAAAACATCACCAAATCCAATAGTTGTAAATGATACTAGTGTAAAATAAAGTGATGTCCCTGGAAAATAACAAAGTTGATTAACACTTCCATGCTAATAAGTTAGTGTGAGTCTAATATAGCTTTACACTCACAAATGAAAATTAGAGCAGATTCTGGGTGACACACGTTGACGTGTCAACGATGTAAAAGTACGCTCTCTAATTACTGCTACTTTTTTTTTTTTTTTTTTTTGCTTCAAACATACGAAACGAATGAGTAATTTACTGGAAGGAGAAACAAATTATATTTTAAGGAGTTTCAAACTCAATACAAACAAATAATATGAAAAAGTTGAAATTAAAAATGACATTTACTTTAAAAAAAATTGAATATTTTTGCAAAATTTAAATCGTTCAAATAAAAACTGATAATAGAAATTTCTTTACCGTAAGACCAATCATTTTCGAAAATAAGAAACAATCCGGCACAAATGAAAGCCCAAAGAATTGTAATCACAATTAGACCGCCTACCGGAAAATTGAGCAATTCCTCATTTTCGTCCAAGACTATTTCTGGTAAAATCATTTTCTCTTCCTGAATTTCAAATGAAACCGTTAACTTTTCATGTTTTTACTTGTCTAACATTTTCATAATCAGCTTATAATTCTGTTTATTATTGGACGAGTCATTTGAAATTTATTTAATTGTTATGAGAAGGAGCAAAATATGAAATGATTAAACTATTACAGCGATACAGAAATTCTGCATAATGTACCGATCAAAATTTCATTCAATACATGTAATGTTATTGATCGGGACATTTTTAGACTTTTTAGACTTTTAGAATGCAAATATCTTATTTGCATTAATTAAAGTGGAATTTCAAAAAAGTTCAAACTTTTATTTTGTAAAACCAAATGAAAGCGAATTAAAGATAAAATGTTACACATCGGTATTCATATGTTCCCAGCAATTTGGGATGGATAGACATTTTTGTGATAAAGATCGATAATTGCCTTTGTTTTCGATAATTTCGGATGGTTGAAGTTAAGTTAAAACAAACAACAATAACTGTCTAAATTGTTCTTACAATCTGTTTTTCAAGATCTTTGGAGACAAATCGGGATGACCGAGCTAATGTTTTAGCCACCATCATCCATAATATTTTGCATAATCTTGCGAATAAGCCACCTAACACGATTAGTGAGAATAATGTTAGCGGTATACCAAAGAATGCATAAATTAGCGTCAACAAACGTCCAATTGTCGTTGCTGGGTAGATATTTCCGTAACCTGAAATATATTTATTCAAAACTGAAATAGCGATACCTTTTATAAAAATAGCAATACCTCTTCCTCCCTTCTCTTCTTTTTTTTCTTGAATGTGGCACTTTTTTTTGCTAACTATGATAATATCGTTAATATCGGTGAACTATAATCTAATCTTATTTCGTTTTCTGCTTATCTTTTAAAAGTTAAATGATTGTTCATTACACTTCAAATTAAATGGTCATTAACCATACTTTATATATTAAATGATTATTGACCACACTCTGATTTGAAGGTCAAATGAGTGATTATTGGTCACAAATTAAAAGCAAACTAACTGATTATTGATCATACTGTCAACTGATAGAAGAATTTGCAAACTGAATCATTGCTATTTGCCTTACCAATAGTTGTATAAACAGTAAGTGAATAAAAGATCGATCCCCAAAATGTCCATTTAGCATCTTCCATTGTTGGATATTTTAATCCTAATTTTTTTGTTAATTTCCTTAACATTTTAATCGTTTGATTATAAGCTCGCATTGCGCTTAATCCTTTCAAATTATGTATTCGATATGCCACTTCCTAAAATTATCTCTTAAAATTTTAAAACTATTGAATCTAAGAAATTTATATAAAGTTGCATTTATGCGAATTGATTAATATTGCTGTATAATGCGTAATAATAATAACAATAATAATAATAATAATAATTATTATTATTATAGTAATAATAACA